TAATTAGATTTGATAAATTCGTTACAAAAAATCTGCGGCGTAAAAGTGATTTCTAATTCAGTTCAATTAGTAAACACCAGTCATTAACCGTCATGTTCATTTTTTGCCTAAATAACATCTTATTCATTGTTCTTCTCCGGATTGTTGCCTGGGGCTATTTTGCATCTGTTTTACCACAGTCACGGCACACGCTCATTCACCCTGAACTACATGTTTTGATGGTAATACAGAGCACCTAGAGGAAACCTATGTGGACACGGGGAGAACATGCACACTCAACACAGAAAGGCTCTGTCTGGAGGTGGAATCAAACCGAGGATGTTCTTGCTGTGAAACAAAAGTGCTAACCGCGTACATGTGAGTGATACTAGTTTTTCCATTCAAAGCGTTTGTCTTCCTCCCTCTCTGCTTATTTTCTTTATACCTCTTGACCTGTGTTCGAACCAGTGGGGGTGGGTCCCGGCTCAAAAGTGGCCAAAAGGACGTGCGCTGACATGCTTGCAATACCACCCCGGGCCGATGGGGGTGGACCCAGAAGTAGAATTAGCCAATGCTAACATATAGCATTGGCAGACCTCTCGAAAACGTCTTTACAGGATGGACCAAAAGTTGGCTCTTGGCCCAAAGCTCCGTTCCACATGTGTGTCAATGCTGAGGGGGGTGAATTTTTATGGGCCACTCTAGTTTACTTGCTATGAATTTTTGAAGTCTCTCGTTCAATTTAATGGAGCTGCGCCGGCTTTTTCACAATTTTCTTGTGGGCGGGACCACTCGCAGCCATTTTGGATTGCTCCAGTAGAGCACATTTTTTGGCCCATTAGTTAGAACGGCGGAGATAGGCGTGACTCTGTCCGTTAATATATACAGTCTATGGTTCGAACGTGATTATCCACAAAATGCATTGTGGATAATGTAATGTGTTTTATATGGAGAGCTTGATTGTGGATGTAGTGCAGGTGAGGCGGTTAGTGAGTGCAGCTGCTGAAGGCTGATCCAGTATGGTGACACACACAAGCGCACACATAAGCACACACAAGCACACACAAGCACTCACACAAACACTCACACAAACACAAGGGGAGGGGGAGAACACGGAAGGATCATGACAATAAGACCATAGTTGACATAGTTTACTGACAAACAAGATTCTGATAATTTTTTCCACCATTTGCAGTAAAACCCCATCGGAATACATTCGCAAAAGTCACCAGAGTGCACCAAACAAGTACATAAATAAAACGAGTTCATAATGTGAAACTTTAAGACGGTTTTGTTTCATGTAGATTGGGTTAAGTACAATGACAAATTTTTCATCTGACCACCGCAATTTTAAACTATCGGAATTGGAACGTTGAAATGTTGCAATTCAGGAATATGTATAAACATTGTCATCACCATCAAGCTAGAGCTCAATGCTGCTCAAAGCTAGAAGGATAGAGCTGTTATTGCACCACTTTCAGTATTGTCTTCCTCCATCTCTTTCTAGCCCCTTTATTCTTTGACTCATGATGTCACTTGTGTTTTTGCTTAGCGCGTCTTACCGTCTGAGCCTTTGTCATTCCCACTGTGTTGATATCAAAGTGGCTGTGACAGAGCAGACAGACAGGTCTCTCACCGTGGCTTCACAAGGTTGTACGCGATGATACCGAGGAGCAGGAGACGACGAGCTGTCAGCGCCACACTCTCTGTCAGAAACGCACGCTGACATGTTGGAAATTGCCATGCCGACGGCAGGCACATCAGTTGTGACTGTGTAGAAAACGCATGAAAGGTCTATTGTTGCATCACTGTTTTGTTTGTTTTTCTGGTATTTTTCCGCCATTCCAGAAATTTTTTTGACGTCTAAAATATCTAACTCATGTTTTTGCTTGCAATGGAAATGTTTCAAGACATATCTTAGGTAGCACATTTAAACTACACTTTGTTAACCCTTTAGTCACCAAATTAGCAGAATAGCCTAACATGTTTTCACTTTTCGGTATTTTGCACAATGTAACAAAGAGACATTTGGCATTATCTATGCCAAATGTAAATTTCTCCAGTGTGAGATCAATATAGTATATCTTATCTCATCTGATCTTATGAGCTCCCGAATTGATTATGATCAAAAAGAAAGGGGAAGGACCCAAAATAGATACAAAATAACGGATAAAAGAACCAGGGCTACAAAAACCAATTGGACTGACAGATAGAAGGAAAGAGAATATGGTATTTAACTGGGACATGCAGGTGAAACACATTAGCACGGGGAAGACACATTTTAACTCTGATGCCAAAAGGATTCATTTGCTTTCTATGAGACAAGAAAAAAGAAAAAGGATGTCGAAATGCTATGTCAGAGTGAAACAAGACTTTTTTTCAAGCTAAAAGTATAACAGTTCGTGGTGGATAAAAGCTTTTTTCTTGACTTCCTTGTATGAATGGACGTCATTGGTCCTGTGGTTATTTTGGCACTTTCCTCCTGTGTCCGGTTTGTTAGTTCTGTTCATATTGTTCTTCGTTCACTTCACACAGGCGCTATGGATAGGTTCAATAGCCCTAAATCGTAGAACTCACTTTGATCAGTCTTTTGATTCAACATGTACTTTTCATTGACCTGTATTTACTTGCGCACCTTCAAGAGCAAACGCTAAACTTCTCAAATTGAATTTTGAGTTGAAAACAAGTATTCCTTTTCATCCACAGGGTTGGATGTTTCCATTTGAATCCATTAAATGCACATGTAGCAATATGTAAGATTTTCATGTCAAGTCCTCATTAAATGGCCCTAATCTGGATAATCAAATACTTCTTTAACTGATAACAGTAGTTCAGCAGAGATATTTGGATTTCAAAAGTTGTTTTCATTTCGATATCCCTCCCTCCATTTTTTTACCAATCAGAAAGTCTGTCAGAGCTAATCTCACTGGTAAAGAAACATGTGACCGCAGAACTAAAAAAGGTCTTGTTATGATTCTCAAATCATTAATGACAAAATAATGAATAAAGCCAGGATTTCTATCTTTGTGAGAAAAGGTGTTGGTTATAGATTTGTTGTTGACAAAACTCTTCAGTCAGATATTATGGTCCTAGCTGGATTCGTCTGCATATCTGGCAACCTGAGTCGGGGAGAGTTTAGCACCACTTTTGGCCAGATTTTTACATACTGCCCCTTTAATAATCGAGATTGAGAAGAGCAGGGATCAGTCTTTCGTTTTTTTGCCACAGCGTTATGAGACCACTGAAGAGCAGCAAAGAAAAGCACCTTCATCCAATATTTACGTCTTAAATCTAAGCCTCTTTGTGTACAATATAATAGATGGCTTTTTAATGTTTCTGAGTGATTTCAGTTGGCCTCTAAATTGCCTCTCAGGGACTAGATTCAGGTTAGCATGTTCTGTATGCCAGAAAGAACGACAGCCCGTGTAGCACCTTTGATAATCACCATATCTTCCATCTTCCCTTCCCGTGCTTGGCCTGTGAATGAGTTCATCTTGAGGGAATCTAACCAAGGTTGAAGGTTGCACAAAAAGGTGACCACGTTTGGGGTTCGCAGTCCCAATGGGGTCACTTTAAGAACAGGGCCAAACAGCTGCAAACGAACAGAAGAGAAAGGGAGATGGTAATGAACGGGCTAATTGCTTCCACTGGATTTTGAAATCGAAACCTTGGCCCCTCTAGGCCGGGGCCAAGACGAGCACAAATGGAATATTGATGACTGTGGCAAAAATAAGAGAAAATGACCCGCGCTGCATGATCGATATGAAAGCCACAGACCTGAGAAGGACATGTCTCTACAGGCAACACATTCTCCTTTCGGTTTTAATGGACACGTGTACACTTACCGCAGGTGTTGTATTGCTGAGGTTAACAAATATTACATTAAAACAATATGCTTTCTCTTTTATTCATGGTGCCGGTTACGTTGATAGCCTCGTAATTACAAAGGGGCAATTATAGCAAATATAGAAAGTCAGTCTTTTTTGTGTTGTTAAAATATAGAATTACAAGCAATAGACAGAGTGATGGCATTAAGTTATGCATTTTGAGGTAATGCTAAACACATTGATTTTCCCTCGGATAGGCTTTCTGCATTGATAGGCTATTACAATGGTGCCAGACAGACGTTCTTCTTTCAGATTACAATATTATTATAGACATTTGCTGGAGCCTATTAGCATTCTAACACTGTCTCGGGGTACTGCTTCACTTCAAATGTTATGTAAATGATGAATGGTTTGATCTGATTTCAAGTTCTAAGTTTTCTCATGAGGTTGAGGAAATTGGAGTGGACTGCATTTACAAAAGTAGTAAAATTGCTTCTCTCATTTTGGATTTAGCAGCACAGTGACAACAGCAGGAAGGTCACAGGTTCAGGTCCCATATGAGAGAAGTCCTGTTCTCTTTGCTGGATGGGTTTTACTTGCTATTTCTCGCCACAGTTATGGGCAGAGAGATATTTTGTTCCAATGCCGAAATTGTAATTTACCTGACTTGGCATGACTCAACTAAAATATACCCATTGTGAAGCATCTTCTAACATATTTTAGTTAGGTCTTATCACTAGTTTCCACATGCATACATTTCTGGCCTATACCACATCTCAATTTTTCTAACCTAAAAGTAGAGAGGATTACCCTTTCTCAGCCAATTAGCTTTCAGAGTCAAAGAGAGTTACTCAGAAAGTTCTTTGTATGATAAACAAATTCTCAAGTTCACAATATTTCACTTTTACAAGACTATTTCTGTTTGGACAGAATACAAGTTTTATTCATGGACAAATGTATCCCAACTTTAAAGGAAAGTGAGACCGAAATTTTCACTACATCATCACTCATACGCTAAAGAAGGCTTACATTGACTTGCATCAGGTGCACACTGGATTGGTTTGAACGTATGTAAGTAAGTAGTAGGTAATCTTTATTTATATACCGCCTTTTCACTGCACATCGGAGTCTCAAAGCGGTTTACAATTGTTATTTTTTGGGAGTGGGGGTGCCAGTACAGGAGGCACATGTCAGACCTATTGTACATATTTTTAGTGGTAGGGGAAACCGGAGCACCCGGAGGAAACCTACGCAGACACGGGGAGAACATGCAAACTCCACTCAGAAAGGCCCTGGTCCAACCGGGATTCGAACCCAGGACCTTCTTGCTGAGAGGCGAGAGTGCTATCCACTCAGCCACGTACAGAACTCCTGATTTCAATGTATGTTTAAATGTATAGTTCCCAATATGATAATAATTCAGGTATATTTCTTTCTGAATTCAAAGAGTCTCATACCGACTCTCCCATGTCTTTCCGTAATTACAGTTGTCCATTTCTTCTCATGGCACATGTGAGAGATTTTTACCCAGCTTTGTTGTTTCCAAGACCATTGCATGCACTCTATATTGCTTACTTTTGATGCCAGGGGGAGAATCCTTCCATGACCAAAATCATAACGGTATCATTGTTGAATCAAACTTGTCATTCCCTTCTTCCTCCCTGTCACATTTCCCCAACCTCTTTTGTCTTTCTGTCAAAACCTCCACAGTGCTCCCTCATGTTTACATACACCCTCATCTCAAGCTACAACACGCAACAATTCAGCCTCAAGCTTTTTCCTTTTTCTTTTCTCTGAATCATTTTATGTTCACAGGAGTTTTTGTGGTTTGCATATAGTGACACTTTTTGTGAGAATGCAACCCAAAAAATATGAGTCAGTCATCTTATGCTTGCAATAAGTGCCAAAGCTGTAAGTGCTGAAAAGAAGTTGGAGAGGCTTTATACGAAAGGGTGCAATTTCCAAAACCTTGAGGAGGCCGGATCATCATTTCAACAGTTTATAGTGCTATCTGACCCGCTTTATATTTCCCTCATAGTATTTTAGGTGCACTATCTGATAATACTCTTGACTGACATTGACTGACAGAGATTACAGTTTTGAAACTTTTTCTTTTTCCTCAACAACTGCAGCAAGTGGAATCATTATTCTGTCTATTTTACTCTAGTGAAATAAATGTGTCATGCTTGGAGTTTGTAATTGTGGATAATATATGCCTGAATGTCTGCATGAAATTACATTATATCAGTATTTTGTTGTGAATAACTATAAAATAAAATAAATATTTTGGTTAGTGCGTTAATGAATGGCAGTACTGTGAAATCACCAGTTCAGAGTGGTTGGGGAAACCAGAGAAACCAGAGGAAACCTACACGGACACAGAGAGAACATGCAAACTCCACACCGAAAGGCCTCGTCTGGAGGTGGAATTGAACTCAGGACCTTCTTGCACTGAAGGCCATCTTCCCATTATCAATTTGGTTTATAAATTAATAATATAAAAATAATTAATACATTTTAGTGGGGACTTTTTTAATCATTATTTTAGTTAAATATAATACATGTACATAGTTATTTAATTACTTATTTTAAGATTTGAAACACACAATAGTGCAAACACAATACATGAACAATACAATACGATTCAACAAACAGATTACAATATTATAGTGCACAGTACATACAGTAAAATATACAGCACCCTGGCATATGTCTGGGATGTACATAACAATATATAAACAAACACAGTACTGTGATTTTCTGCCATAGCTTCCTCTATGCTCGCTGGAATATAAATTAACCATGAGTTTTGTCTCATGACAGCTTCCTAGTGCAATCCATGTGCCACCTCGTCCAGATCGCCAGGAGAAGGGTCAATTATTGGCTTACATTATACACGGCAGAGCTGTCGCTTTAGATGCACTGGTGCTGCAAAAGTCTGCCATGTCCTCCTGCTCACAGTTTTATTTTCTGCTGTTTCACTTGGTCCCTAGTCTCACCTTACTATCGGTGTCCATCTACAAAAAAAATTGACCATGGAAGTCACTTTGCAACACTGAGGTAATATCAAGCTGTAAAATCTGGCAAAGTTTTGATTTATGTGCGCCATTAGCGGGGAATAGTGTTCCATCATAAGTAGCCTGTCTGTCTCGACTGCATGTGAAACCAGAGCCGCCGGTCATGCAGACAGCGTTTTATGATGTGGGCTGAACGATAGGATTTTCATAGCTATAATTACGGTTAGCCTTACTTTAAACTCCGTGTATAGGGGGTTGGGTGACTCTGATGCTGCTTTAATTGACACAGAGATAAACACAGATGTTGTTTTAATGTTATGACTACTGTTCAAAACAAATGTGATGGTTTGTTTACTGAAGACGGCAAGTCCAGGTTTGATTGCTTGTCTAGATAATTGTACGTTTTCTCTCATAGTAAGAATAGAAAAAAAACACTGATAATAGTTCCAGTTATTGTGTACTCTTCTAAATGCAGAATCTGAAGTCAGTAGTTTTGTGGGGGACGTTTAGATCCACACAAACTGCTCTTGACTGCTGCGTGTATAGTTGGGTGAATTGTTTTGGGCATGCTGACTTTTAATGACATGGTCTTTTGGGGTTTGATGTTTGATAATAAAATGTTGTGCCATTTCTCTGATAGATATTAGTCCTTTTTACAACGTAACACACACTGGCGAGTCACCATGTGTCATATACTTATCCTTTGTCTATTCTTGTCCATGTTCAGCATTGTAAACATAGTCAAGTATTTTATTACTCTTCTGGATGTTTGTAATACGTTTTGATTATGTTTCTGAAGTTGCATATCTACATTAGACTTATTCGTTGGGCAAATAAAATGTCCCATCATGCAACTTTGCAGACAGACAAACTGTTCTCACTGTGAACAGGCTTGCCTTTCACCAAACCAAACACACTTTGAAATATATAGTTTCGTAATCATCTTCAAATCAGAGCTGCAATCAACAATAATTCCTATGAAAATCAATTAGCTGGTTGATTATTCTTTACATTAATCAATAGATCAGAGATGCCCATGTCACACATTGGGTTGATAAGAAATACTTTGTAAACACGTTTTAATTTAATTCTGCAGTCATTAGAGATTTATCAGAGTCATAGAAGCTATTCTCAACATGTGCAAGTCTATGCAAGGTTATTTGAGCCTGATTTCAAAGTATGGCTTAACTTTTAATCGATTATTGAATATAATCAACAGCAAACTCTACAAATAATATCCCTTCCTCATTTACCATCTCGATATACATGCCTGTATACTGGATCTTATTCTTTTACTATTTCAACTGACATCATCTGTGTATCTTGTCTTCACAGCGAGGGAGGAGAACGTAGCCACCTTTCGCGGCTCCGAGTACTTCTGCTACGACCTGTCCCAGAACCCCATCCAGAGCAGTAGCGACGAGATCACGTTGTCCTTCAAGACCTGGCAACGCAACGGCCTCCTGTTGCACACGGGCAAATCGGCCGACTACGTCAACCTGGCGCTCAAAGACGGAGCCGTGTCTCTGGTCATCAACCTCGGATCCGGAGCGTTCGAAGCCATAGTGGAACCGGTCAACGGGAAATTCAATGACAACTCCTGGCACGACATCAAAGTGACTCGCAATCTCCGACAGGTAAACACAGACGGCGATGAACCTAGCGATTATTGTAGCGATGTAGCCAGTTGGATATTTGTCTAACTTAAGCGTAGCTGCTTCTGAAAGCTTTGAAAGAGAGCTGCCATTTTCTAAAACAGTCACTTGATGAGTTGTCATTCCATCGCCACGGATCTGACACATTTTAAGAACTACTGGTCATTGTTTTATTGTTTTCACATGGAATTCTTTATTGTCATTTTTTGATTTTCTCCTCTACTCTTCAGTCGGCAGGGCAAAGCAGTTGTGCAGCATGTGAATGATAGACACAATGCTATTTCTTCACTCCTGTTTAGCCTTCTATGGCCTATGGTTATTCCTGTGATTTCTCTGCTTCTCACTCTCCTAAGCTGACGTTTCTATTAGACGCTGACAGCATACCCTAAACAGTTTTTTAATACTGGGGGAAAATATAGACTTTGAAGCAGAGATGGGAATGTTCTGACTTTGAGTTTCTTTTTAATATTCCCAGCGTTTATGGTCGTGGGTTGTATTCATGTCTAAGTCCATAAGGGCCTGGAGTTATATTTGAAGAGATATTTATTGTACATGTGGTTTGGGATTAGCATGTTTCAGGTCTGGTTTCTGCCATAATGTTAAAGTGCAGGTCAATGAAAATAGTATGATAACTTGACAACTGGTCTCTGGTGCAAAGTACTATAAACTATTAAGTGCATATTGAAGTAACTCATCTAAACATGATTTATTTTTTCTTGCGATGTACATTTTCAAAAATGTACATCGTGAAAAAGATTGAAAATAAATAATGACGCATAAATGGAGCACATTATGTTAACTCACAGATCAAAGCATTTTTTCCAAAAGCAATGAACAACATTAGCAATTAGAGAAATTAGCTCTTAGACTAGAAATTTCCATAGTTACCAGGAAAAAAAATTCAGCTGCCCTTCACCACAGTATTAAACTATAAGCTCTTTGGAATGTTGTAATGTTACATGAATGCGATCTATTCATGTCAACTGGCACTGTGAACAACATATCTCTGTAAAGTTTATTGAATATCCGTTTAACGTCACTTTGAAATTGCCTTGATCGTCATAGCACAGCAGAGAGCCAATATACAGCTTTTGTGGCATTGACCTGCGTTGTAACACGTATCTTTATAGCGAAGGCCAGTCTTATAAAGCATAACATATAGCTGTTTTGAGGCTGTTTAAAAGCGGCGTGGACCTTTAGTTTGGTCTGCACAACGAGACACTGCAGCTCTTGTTACTCTGTGCAGCACAACAAGTAAGTGGTGATTTTTCTGACCTTTCTCGCAGTCGCCTCAGAGGTTAGTAAAGAGTTTGAAATCCCAAAAGGATAACACAGTTTAGCAGGTTATAGGCTCAGGAGCTGCTGCCTGCTTTCTTTTCCTTTCTACACTTCTTTCATGCCGATCATTTTATATTTGAAAGGAAAGCATTGTTATACTGAGGTGAAGCAAACACTACAAGCTTTGTTGGAGGCATTCGTCATTTTAAACAAATTCTTCCAAGCCCTTTGTTTTGAGGAATCTTGGAGAAAATTTGACTAGAATGGCAACGTATGCAATCCTCTGTACAGCCTGTGTAGTGTTTATTTGCCACTAACCCATTCATTATTTTTATACTAACAATATCTAACCAACTAATGTACTAACCATCCTACTTTCTCATTTTTGGTTTTTCGTTCGACCATCATTATTAACAACCTTTTTTGTTCACTATTCTTTTGATTTCCTTTTTTCCCCTTTTTCCGGAAAGCAATCAGGCATTGGACACGCTATGGTAAACAAACTACATTGTCTGGTAGATATCATTCTTATTGTCTTTTTTTTGGGTTTGCCGTGTGTCCCCTCCCCCTCTCTTCTTTTATTTTATACTTTCTCTTTTGAGTTCCATCCTAGACACTCTTATCAAAAAATGAGGAGATGGGTTTGTATTACCAGGCAATTCTTTCTTTGCTTCTTCTCGATTTCCTATTCCCCAACCTGCCAACGAACTTCTCTCCTACCCCTCGACCCCCCATTCTTTTTTATCACTTTACTTTTTTTATACTTTTTATCTTTCTTCCACATAACTACAGATACCAAGAAGTAACAAGTACTGTACAGAACAATTGAAATTTACCAACTTCAAGAAAATTCCTTTTTTTTAATTTTCTTGGTTTTTTTTCACACAAAAAAGTCCCCATTTTTTGTGAGGACTGTCGTTCCAAAACTGACAGAAGCTTGCCACAATTCAGCAAAGAAAATCCAGCAAATGGCAACCCTTAAAAGTTCATTGCGGGAGCTCTGACAGTTGGTTCCAGATCACTACGGCGCATGGCATGCCCACACACCTCCATCCACCATGTCTAACCCCACAATAACCACTAACACTCTAATCCACTCACCCTCATTCTCACTCTCATTCTCACCCTCTGCCTCCCGTGTGGTGTCGTGGCACGTTTGTGACGATGGCGTGTAGTTCGCTCCCCACCCTGCAGCTCATATTCATCACACTTTGACGAACGAGCTTGCCGATCTTGATTTATTGGTTCAGTGGTAGTCGACCATGATTTTGTTGTTACTCAACATTATTACAGTGATAACCACAAAAACAACAAAAAGTCAAGTTATTATTTTATTACATTTCTAACTTAATACATAGCTTGCAAAAAGCAAAAATATATAAACTTAAGTAAGTAAGTAATGGGTCAATAAAAATGTAAGTAATGGGTCAACAAAAATGTGTTTTCTGATGCGGATGTGGCTTTTAACAGCAAGGGGTATCTAGAAGTACTGCTTTTCTACAATCTCTGAAATTTCTCCACTGTGAGACTAATAAAGGTTTATCTTATCTAATATGTGTAATGCTTAGACAGTTTCTAAATAACCCTTAGTGTTGTCACGATACAACATTTCAAGCACTCTTTCAATATAAAAATATGAATACCGCAATTATGTTTAAGTTGTTCTGATATTGCTTAAAATGCCCATGTCAAATTTGCTAAAAATTCATAATTAATATCCCTGGGCGCATAGTGGTGCAGTAGTAAGCTCATGGGTTTGATTTCACCTTCAGTTAAGGCCTTTCTGCGTGGAGTTTGCATGTTCTCCCCTTCGTAGGCTTCTTCCAGATTCTCCGGTACCACTAAATCATGTAAAATAAATACATAAGCAAAATAAACATAAATCCACAATAAATGGATAAATTAATGATTACTGGCAAAAAAGACAACAAAAAAGATAATAACATTAAATAAAACAAATACATCTCCCAATAGCATCCCCTCATATATTGCACTTCTAAATAACTGTACATTTTGGTAGCTAAATAATTAATGAGCATCACTCTGTAGAATGGTACACTGAAGCTTAATGTGGTCAGATCGGCCTAAGCTGTTCTGAGGGTGTTCATGAAAATGGGCCTCTTTACAGTACATGTTGCTTGTGCATGGTCCTCTGCACATATCCGGCTGCTCACCGCTTCGTATGGCACCATCCATCCACTTACTCCCTTCCATGTTCAAGTAAGTGTGTTTAATTTGCCTTCGAAACAGTGACGGCCTTGGTTTGCACATTTGATGGTGTGAGAAACCTTTTCCCTTTTGCATGCAGCGTGGTTATGTTAGATGTACTGTCTGTGAGAGAGGGGAGAGTGTGAGAATGTCTGACCGCGTGTTGTGAGTGTGCTGTTAATGTCTGCAGTTAGTAGATAAATCCCGAAACCTAAGACAAGTCCGATCAATTTGTCCTTGGTTTGAGCATTGTACTAACCCAACCCCCCCAACCTGAATCTTCCAGAATGAAGGAAACCATTCTCTTACCCCCATCAAAGATAAAGAAAATATGCATACAGCCATATTTTCTTTACCTGTCCTGTGAAACCTATGGCTAAAATTTCATTCTAAAACCTAATAAAACGCTGTCTGGTCCAAAACGATTGCTCCAAGGAACTAAAATGAACGGAATAACTTTGATTACTTTGAATGCAGACCAAGGAAGATGGAGGTGTGCTTTTTTTATTAAGGTGCCAAGTTGAATTCAAGAATGTAATTGTCTGGCTTTGGCTATGTGTTGCCTCCAAACAGGTAACAATCTCAGTGGATGGTATCCTCACGACCACCGGTTACACCCAGGAAGACTACACCATGCTGGGCTCGGACGATTTCTTCTACGTGGGTGGGAGCCCCAGCACAGCAGACTTGCCCGGATCTCCAGTCAGCAACAACTTCATGGGCTGCCTGAGAGAGGTAAGAACGATTCAGTGATCCAACAAAAATGTGTTTTCTGATGCGGATGTGGCTTCTAACAGCAAGGGGTATCTAGAAGTACTGCTTTTCTACTGTTTTTAGGCTCAGACTGTTGTGGGGAGTGATTGCAGTATATTTTGTGCATACCCATGGGTTAAAAGCTGGTAATATTATGCCTTTGAATTATTGTAAATCAGTAAAAATTGCATTCCATGAAGGGTTTTCACAAAGTAATCGCAAAAAAAAGACAGACTGATAATTATTGATTTTGGTATGCATGAAGTATTGTGGTTACGACATAATTTTGCACAGACAGACAGGCAGTCACATAGGATATTCATTCACACAAGCTGGTACATGGTGCTTTGGCATGAACATGAAATTCCCCTTGGGTCTGGTGTTGGTGGAAGCTAAAGTAGTGAGCTAATGACATAGAGGGAATGTCTCATCCTTTAGGGGTGATGGGGGGAGCAGGGTGAGAGTACTAGCTGAGTGAAGGTTTAAATGCAGCCATCTAAATTTTGACTAAAGCACATGTGTGTTGATGAAGGAGAACTGAGGCGGGTGGATGTTGTATGTTTCTGTGCGTAGCCTAAGTTGTTATTGCTTTGCATTTTATGAATAGTCAGTTGCCAAGAAAATCCAGGAGCTCTGTCTTTAGAATCACAAAACATGTGGAACATTTAGATATGAATGGCACAAATGCAGTGGTTGTATTTTCCTTTGGGAGATTACATTTGTCCAATCACTTCAGACACAAATTGACAACATCGTAAACATATTTTGATGATATCACCTTCAGAAAGAGTTCATTAAATGCAGCTGGTTGCTGTTTTGTTGTATTTATGGAGTTCCCATTACCACTAAACATTGTGCATTAACTGATTGTGTGCTATTTGTGTTGCATGGCAGGATGTTACAAGTGGAAGTAAACAAAAATTGCATTATACAGTATATAAAATCTGCTGACTTGGCACAGGAAATGCTGCTTTCAATATTCACGCATTTAATCTAATTCACTTAGTGCAAAGAAATGTTTTAAAATTGCTTCAGTCACAAACAATTTGCAGCATCAGTCTATGAAAGGCCTCCCAATAGGCCCAAGCTGAGATGAAATATTTCCAAATGACTTTTTTATTGCCCTATCGTTGTTTGGGAACGTTTATAATGCACTGTTTTCTGGCTCTCTAAATTTATATAGCATTCTGGTATTTATATCTCTCTAAAACACTCCAGTAAGATATAATTATAACAGACGGCTCAGAGACAAAATAATTGAATTGAATCTCGAGTGATTCAAATAAATATTGTCTTTCGTCAAAAAAAAAAGGTATTCAGGGATTATTTCCGCAGTCAGCCCTAAAGATCAGCAGACACCTATAAAGCCAGCTTGAGGGGGGAAACAAAAAGGCTTTGACAGAAGTGTGATATAAGCAAGTTAATTAGGCATTTGTTCCTGATTGTCTTTGCGTTCAACAACAGATGCACCGTAAAACACTCGGGTGATTAATCGATTGCCGTTTTTCTCTCCCTATGAAAAAAACATTGTTTGTATCGCATATCAAGCAACACAGCAGATGTTCTTTCTTTTGCAAGGCATCTCAGGTAGAATGAAAAATGATTTGCATTGCGCCACAAGCTAGACGGGTTAAAATTGCGAAACTTTTAGCCTGTTTACGAAAGGAAAACTAAACAGTCTCAACAAAAAAAAAGTCTCTGGGTTGGTTTTGAACTGGCCAGGCTCCTCTCTTTCAGTCCTGGCTGTTTGTCGCTTCTATCATAGACTTGCTGATTTTTGACAAGCGCCAGTTTAATCCAGTGATGTGCTGCCAAGCTTCGGCTCACACCTTCCAACACGCCTTTCATTTATGCACTCTTTCATCAGTCCACTACACCCATCCCACTTCCAACCTGTTTTTTTGGATTAATGCCGCAAAATGGACAGCTACTTTTTATTTATGTTTACTTTTTTGGAGTAGAGTAACCTTGTCTGTTGTGTGGCTGTTGGAAGTGAGGTGTCCCAAGCTGTGGCATTGGCCCCTCCGATGATTAATCTCTATACCAGAATCCTTGTAAATGTGCATGAAGTGTGTTGCCATACAACATAATGTCAATCTGCACCAGAACTTACCCACTATGACACAAGATCTGATCAAATTGGGTTTTTGAGCGATTTTTATAAGGACTTTATCAACATCTATGAACATTGGTTATCTGTCCCTTTTGGATCAATGGTTCTATGTGTTTTTTATCATTGCATTTCTTGTCTTTTAACCGTTTGATTCTCTGATTTGTGTTGACAAATTTGAGGGTTTTGTAAAATCCTCCGAGATACTACTACTACATTGTCATTTAGGGCTACAAGATACTATTTCTACTACTGATGGAATTTAGGGCTATACAAAAATAGATTGAATTGAATGGAATTGAATAGTTTGTTTGATGACGACAAATACAAAGACGACAATTTTGTTTTTTTCAAACACAATTCATACCAAAAACAATGTAGATATAATGTCCACAATGGCTCTACTCCAGTTCAGGTACCAGTTAACGGTGCCTTCCTCTGTGGACAGTTCTAAATAAACAATGTAAATGAGCAATAAGACCCATTGGTAGTGAGTGTGAGGGGGTAACAACCATTTTCTTTGCCCTGTCAGGTCAAATGCGACAACCTTTTCAAAGATTAAGCCGAAAAATCATAGAGGAGAAGCACAGGGAAAGAACAGGAAATTTCACAAGACAAGAGACGGGACCAACTGTTGTATATTCCCTCCCAAAAGTGTGAAACTCCTTATCACCATATTGATAATAGTTTCATCATAATTTGTACAGGCAGTCTTGAATATTACATACTTGAAAATTTTACCGAGTTGCTTAGGCCCATACATTGGGCCTCATTCACGAATAACTTCGTAAGAAACTTCTTAAATTTCTTCTCAAGTCAATTTTAAGTAGATTTCTAAGAAGACCCTATGTGGGATTTATCAACGCGCTCGTAAGCCTCTGAATTGTTTGCAGCTGTTCTCTTAGATTGATGAATGCCAACTCCTCGTAAGTAGAGCGCGCATGCCCGGTGCTTCATTAGCATAGGTACTTAGCATAGGTAACCCCCCCTTCATGCCCATAAAAGGGACTGCAGGGCCGTGTGCAGACGCCAGAGGAAACAGCAACAGGCCTAAAGCAAAGAGTTACACGGAGAAAAAGAGTCACCCTTTTTTCTTCTTTTGCCAGACTGAGAATAAAGTTATAAAATGTTGACTTAAAAGTCGAAATATTATGAGAATAAAGTCGAACTAGCAAAATTATGCGATTAATCTAAAAATATGATGAGATTAATCTCAAAATGTTATGAGCTTGATTTAAAAACATATCATGCATTAATTTAAAAATGAATCTCAAAATGTTTTGAGATTAATCTCAAAATTTTTTGGACCCTGGGAGGAGATCCAGCACGGACCAGCGCTGAGACCAATGCAGACCCGAGGAGAGACTGGAGTGACCAGCACACAGAAACCAGCGTGGACAGGAGAGACCGCATAGACTGGAGAGACCGGTGCGCAGAGACCAGCGCGGACCAAAGAGAGACCGCATAGACCAGACTTGAGAGACCAGCGCGGACCCTTATGGATCCAGGAGCGTGCAGCACGGACCCGTATGGAGAGACCAGTGCAGACCCGTCTAGATCCATGGGAGAGACCAGTGCAGACCCGTCTAGATCCATGGGCGAGACCAGCGCAGACCCGTATAGATCCATGGGAGAGACCAGTGCAGACCCGTATAGATCCATGGGAGAGACCAGCGCAGAGACTCAGCGCGGACCCCGCAACCTCCTGCAGCAGCAGTATATATGCCGTTGTTCTGTGGCCCGTGGATAAAGAAATTTCCCCTATAAATAGGATGGGATCACTAATACACGGCAAGATTTCCAATGTATTTGATAAAGCGTTGGCACATTTCATTTCAAAATGAATTAAAAAATAGGCTATATTACCATTAACAATTAAATAAATACATACATCAATATGACGGACATATCAATGTTGTGTTTTCTTGAACTTCATAACACCAGCGTGCGAACATGTCGGCACTGAATGTGCGTACGAGTGCTCCTGAGCAGATTTGTACGTACCCAAGAGAAATTCTGGTTACGAGAAAATTTCATGAATGCCACAATCTTCGTGAAATCTTCGTAAGTAGGATTTACGCACAAATTTGTTCTTAAATATGGTTCATGAATGAGGCCCGTTGTTCACAACTGTGAATAAACTAGTCACATTTCAACAACATAATCTCGTTAATACATGTTGTCAGCCGCTGGTTCAAAACTACAGGTTATCTGGACATCAGCACAAACAGACAAGTTACAGACTACAGTCTAGTCTGGGTGTCTGCTGGATGTAGCAGCAGAGTGACAAAGACATGGACCCAGAACTCTGGTCTTATACCATGATAATTTGAAACACATTTGACCATATGTCCCACCATCCTTAGGTGAAGACAATACCTCCTTTCTCCAAAACACACAGTAGCCCCTCTCAAAGTAAGCCTGAGGCTACTCTAAACAGATGTTCTCTACGCTCTTCTTAATTTAACTTCCTGTGTTTCATGGGGGATGGAAGAGAATGCTGCTGATGCGCCCATCACATCCCATCACACACATAGGTTAACTCAAAACTGTCTAAACTTTGAATATATTCTAATTCACTTTAATGAAAATCCAACAACTCTACTAACATTCCCTCCTTTTTCTCATTAAAAGAATTAATCACATTCAATGTTTAGTAAACCAACTTAAAGATGGAACACAATGAAATTAATACAAACACAGTATTACATTTGAATCCAAGTTGCATCGACTCAACTTAAAGACCCCTCTTCACATGTGTCTTATAAAAATCACATTGGTTACAGAAACACACACAGAAAAGAACTCAAAAAAAAGTTTTTTAGAGATCATTTCATATTCATATGTAATTGCTCCCCCATAAACCATATCT